CCTTGACGCGCTCAATAGATGGCGAGCAGACATGACAATACATGATCATGTAATAATATAATCTAGTGTGGACCAATAAACGGAATAAGCGATCTAAGGACTAAATTATATCTGAATCTGTCTTACTTCAAACACTAATAAGTATTATCGCCTTGGTAGTTCAGCCTTCTTTTGTGGTGTGCGTGAGTTGATTAGTAAATGACAGACTCTGTTGTCAGTGAAAGTTTGCTTTGTGCTGCAACCCCATGCGGGACTGTCGATGCCTTTATACAAGCACCACCATATGCACTTGGGTAAGCAAAAAACTTGAATTTATCTTTCGGAAGGTGTTCTTGTTTCATCATAATGAAGGATCGATTCGACATACAGAGTAGCTAAGCAGTGCTGAACAATGCGGAAATTTGTATATTTAGGTTACCTCTGTAGGTTTCACATCTCAACTCAAATCACGAAATTCAATGCGATCAGACTCAATCGCCTTGGATGTCATTGTCTTGCCAAGACTAGGACCTTTTTAAACCACGTGACAAGCAAGGACGGACTGATGTATCTTTTTGTTACAAATATTAAGCCAAAGCTCGCAGAAAGCACTTTGACTAGCCCGGTGGCTTTTCTCGATCACATCGAAGAGTCAGGAAGCTATCAACACGTAAGAAGTTGTTTTATCACTAAAATCCAGTCTTTATACGAAAGGTTGTCGATCTCTTTTGAGTCCACCGGTTTTATCGTATTCAACTACCTTACACAACTCTTGCAATATCTTCTTATTACTCAGCCTAGCTGGTCACTCTCATCCACTTTTGTGTAAACCAGGAAGCTTCAAAAGTGACATAGCAGATGTTCAAAAACCACCGTCGTCCAGCTTTATCTACAGCTAATTGTCTACCTTCTTCTAACGATCATCGTATCTCGCCATCTACGAGCTAATTAAAGAGGTAGAATATTAGCAAACGTTGCCATGTAATTAAGGCAAAATATACTGCTCGTGTGCGAGATATCGAAATACTGCCGAACAGCGCGTAGCGGAGCGTCTTTCGATTTACAAATATTGCCGAACTACCGATGATTTGTTCCAATCTGTGGTGTTCGGCAAATGAAAGCCTACGTATAGCCACTAACATGCTTACGCATCGGGCATCTGGACAATAGCCGTCGTTCATAAGCAAAGGAGCAAAATTTGGTGTAAAGCCGATGTCAATTTTCTTCACATGTAATCGAAGCTGTCACTTATGAGAAAACGACGAATTAATTACTTCATTAATGCAGCTTTCACAATAGTTTAACCACACGAAAATAGTAGTAAGTTGTAGTTTTCAGGATCTAGGACACGTGTCTAAGCTATTGAGGAGCCTGCAGGTAAAAGCAATTTATCACGGGTCTGGTGGCCACAGTCCTTAGCTTGTTGCTTTCCATATTGGTTTCTTTAGGTTAGTGGAGCAATGATGTACGCTTTGTTTCCAGAGTCCTTAAATGACGTCCAGTAACTCGTCACTCTCAATGCGATAAGGGAAGTAGCATGAAGCTCACTGTGGCATTAAAATATCAATTTGAATACGCAGTCAAGAATTGAATACTCACGGTCCCATTCTCCATAGTCGTGGTTGGAGACTAGGGACTGGTGTATCAAAACTAAGTATGTGCTTTGTGAGATGTAGTCAGCACAAGTGTTGCCGCGGTTTCTTAGTATCAAACAAACTTGTTTGTTGTTGCTGATGAGTTTGCTGACGATGTCACTCTACCGCCAAGCGGAGCCGAGCGACCATCAGTACTACGTTGCTTCTCAACAGCTGTAAAGGGGCACGCTCTTACCAGATGACTAGTAAGACCTTGTGTTAGCAAAACACAAGGCTGCGTACTTTGGACGCTATGTGCACGTGGCGTGAGGAAGCGCGAGGAAGGAGATAGAATTAATAAGCTTTGTCCAGGGGAAAAGTAAAATTGTAATTAACATTATTCCGTTTCTTAATTTAACTATCTTTGTCTTCATCTACCAATATTCAACTACAATCTACAATGTGGGCTACTTGCTCACACACATGGCGCGCTTCAAGCAGCCCTTGGTAGTGAATCTAGTTAATGTACCGTGGACATTCTTCAAAAAGTGGAGCGACCTCGAATATCACACTCGGGAGTAAGATTCTGCAAACCTTACTTCTTTTCGAGTAATGCTAATTGAATATTGTCAAATTAGATAATATATTACAGTTGATACATTCGTATCAATTATGACGTAACGGGCTCACCCCGTTACTATTACTTTATAAAAAGCTTACGCATGTCAAAGACGCGTCATCATTGCGACTGCTTTGGTCGTCAATAGATGTTTACTTATACCCCCATCAGCGCCATTGTGCGCCTGAATTACAGCAATCTATATGTTTCGAGCATTCTAGCTGGTCGACTTTTATGCATAACATCACATTGTGTTTTGAGGCTTGGTGCTTGCCTTAATGAACCGCTGCGCGTCCGGATCTACGACGTGCAACTTTACGCAAAATTATAGAAGAGTAACAAATATGACGACATGGAATTTTGAACTGTTCGAGTCAAAGACAAGTCAGTTAGCTTGCTGCGGTATCATTTCGACGAGCACTGACAGCTGCTACACTCGAAAACTGGTGCAATCTCGATTCAAATCGACTGGTTAGACGACATCGTCTACACTTCGACGATTCTTTGAGCTCAAGCGTATATCAGTATGCAGCATTCTCCTTGTTCTCACATATATGGGCGGAGTTGCTGACAAGACAAGTTCTTCTGGAATGGCAAAGTACAATGTGTGGATCTTAAAATCTGGGTTAGCAAACTATCTTCTACTGACAAAATCTCATGCCGTGGAACGTCTACGCGTAGTATATTTATTCTACAGACGCATGTGGACACACAAATGCATACACACAGAGGTTTGGCTTCTAATAACTGCACACTCCCTATTGGGAAGCTTTGTTCTTTATTTGCAATAATCTCCGCTAGATTCTGTTATTCGACATGGGGACTGCCTCTCATATCAAATATCAGATGTACTAGTGGATTTGCCGCTCGAAAATTCAATCCGTGCTGTCGTGCAGGTTTATGCACAGCCGCTGGAGCCCGCAATTGTTTTAAATGGACCATCCTTGTCAAACCCGTATCAGACTGACTCACTGGCTTACAAGTGCTAGCTTCTGAAAAAATGGCAAACAAGCTGTTGAACCGCTTCCGGTCGCGCGATCAGCCTGGCGATCAGATCTTCGTTTTCGTGAGCAGCTCTTTGTACAAATCGACAGTCAGTGCAGAAGTGACACGAGCGCCACCAGTGATGTAGTCCTTGCGCACCTTTTTGCCCGGCTAGACACCTGGCATGGCTTTTCGGTATACGATTGGCAGCCCTCCGGGAGAGGCGAGACGGCAGCAAGTGAAACAGAGAACGGCAGCGAGCTGGGCAGCAAGTGAGTTGTGTGTACATTAGGGCCCTTTTGTGCCTAATGTGTACATACGAAATAGCTACCAGCTCCCACCGAACCTCTATTGAATCGTCTTGTTTTGCAGCAATAGAAGCCCGAAATTCCGTAACCGACCATGCACCTCTGGACCAGCCAGGATCGTTCGGGGTCAACAAGTGGGGTGACAACGGTGGTCAGGGTGGCGCGCCTGGGCTCGGCAGTTCTACTGGCCCAGACCCTGTTGGAGGCTACAGTGCTGAAAAGCGCGGAGTTGTCAAGAACGTTTGGGGCCATACGGGTCTGACCACGCCCGACAACCTCGCACCTGCTGCACCTGAAGCTGTCATACTTGTTGACACTGGCTCGCCCGGTCCGTACAACCAAGGTGGTCAGGGTATCTAACAGGGAAAGGTGGCTACGGTACGCAGCCTGCCTATAGTGGTCAGGGACCGTACACTCCCCAGTCTTCCCAACAACCACCACAGCAAGAGTACGCTAGCCCTAGCAGCTACGATAACGACGAGCTCTCGAGTGATGACGAAGCGAATGGCAACGTCGACGAGCGGGAGCGGTAGATTAGCTTCGGCTATCTTTGGCGGCATCCCCGGTGCACTGGCCCCAATGTCTGAGGTTAGACGCGTCGGGCCGAACACACACTCCACGCTCCATTACTGCTACCGTCGAACAAGTCGTGCTTCCACGCGTCGCGCATCGAGCCGGAGCGACCAGCAGCAGACTCTTCCAGCCCTAGCCTCGATCAAACAACCCCGCCTTCGCAACAACACCGCGCGAAGGTGAAGATGGATCTGCTTAATTTCTCATTCGACGCGCCCGCAGCTCCACAATGCCCAGTTGCGTTCCGGCAGCCACTACCGCCACTAAAGCACCACCAGCCGCAGCTTATGACACCGCTACAGCAGCAACAGTAGCAGTAGCCGATGATGAATGCAGACCCGTTCGGAATGGGCCCACCGGTTTTACCCGCGCGTGTTGCAGTAGGCGTCTCGCCAGCTGCTTCTATCGATCCTTCTACAGTATTGTGCCAGACTTAAATTATAGCTACAAAACAAGACAAATCAATAGAGGTACGGTGGGAGCTGGGAGCTATTTAGTATGTACACATTAGGCACAAAAGGGCCCTAATGTACACACAACTCACTTGCTGCCCCGCTCGCTGCCATTCTCTGTTTCACTTGCTGTGGGTCCTGTAGGAGCTTTAAACATCTTATACATAATCACTGTTAATAGACTAAACCCTCACTTGCTGCCGTCTCGCCTCTCCCCAGCCCTCCCTAAAAAAGGATTCAGGATCTTGCAAATGGCAGAAGGTGCTTTACGTGGTCCGAACAACAATATATTTTTGGAAGAGACTCAACAAGGGCTGGCGTCGTCGTCGTCGCCAGAGCCGGTGCGAGGGCCATTTTGGATAAGACCTTTTGAAGCCGATTGCTGAACAAAGATTGAACAGGCCCGCGTGCGAAATGCTCGACTGGTCTTACTTTGCAATTTGATTGCATCCACCACCACCACTACCACCACCAACCATTCGAACGTCTTTTCGCCGCGACAACAAGAATCATGCGTCTGGCCTTCGCTGCTGCTGGAGCTCTCGCTGCTGTTTTCGCTTGCAGTGATGGGGGTTCTACTGGTATCATCTCGAATGATATTCTCGTGCCCGGTGTATCTCTCGCAGCTCGCGTGTCGGATAGCAATGTCAACAACATGGACACGACGAGACTTCTGCGGGAGTCTCTGGCTGACGATCAATCGACAACGTCTCTGGAAACTGAGGAGAGAGTTGGCCTAACTGCACCTGGAGAAGAGGTGCTGGCGATAGAAAGTGCGATACGAGGTAGCGCTGTGGCCACACCGGAGAACTCAAGGATCGGCTCTATGGTCAGGGGTGACCAACCCGCGTCATCCGAGAGCGTATTTGGGACGATTTGGGTCTTTGTGGAGAAGTTGAAGGGCTTTGTCGTCGACGGTGAATCGGTCAGTGAGCGCTACGAGAATGGCTTGTCAAGGAACGCAGAATTTGGGGAGGCAGGTGAAAAGGCCAAGACGGCCAAAAATGGCGGAGTCATCCCTGGCGATGAACCCAAGATCGCAACAACTGGCCACATTCACTATGATGGTAATGCCAAGACAGCAGCGGAGGTGAAATATCCTTCTTACGCTCTGGCCAAGCCAGTCGTCACTCGCGAGGGTCGCCATGATTTGAATGCCGAGACAGCAGCGAAAATAAAAGGTCGCTCCTATGCTGAGGCCGAGCCAGTTGTAAACGGCGAGGGCCGCCATGATCCGAAGGTCGAGACAGCAGCGGATGACGGTGATATCTATAAACATTCCTTTCATCTTGAATGCAATAGATGGCGACGGTCCTCACAAGTGGGGATTTTGACATCGCGCTTAGGGTGTAAATGGTATAATTGTCCCGAAGAAGGACGCTTAGGCCACAGTGAAAATTTTAGTTCGTGTGAGAGATGATGCTAATGCGCAATTATCGGGGCCACCTGTTGCGCTGACACTGATCAGTTGGAGGGGAGGTGTGTGGCTACTAACTCTCCAAATAAGGTCTACCTGGTTGAATTCGTCTCATTATACTGTTTAGACATCATCGCCCAGAGGTTATTCGGTTGGATAGTTCGGCTATTCGTCGATTCCGAATTACTCGATTTTTGTCCCCGGGGGGCTCGAACCGGCAATCAGAGTCTTTATCGTTAGCGAATAAGGTCTACCTGGTACGACATTGCTATGTAATTTCATCCTTTATCTTTTTTGCACGTAAAGAAGCTCACGACTAAATTATATCTACCTTCGACCGTGTACCTATCTTTTTTGGTGCAGTGGTGAGGGAATAATCGACAAAGTGACAAGCGATCGTGACACGAGATGCCAAGATACATACCAGTTTTTATCGTACAACACAACCTTAAGCGTTAATTCCAGGGTAATATGACATCCATAATCACTTTTTGTCAATCCAAATTACATCCTTGAGAATACAACTCGATAATGTTACAATATATTGTTACCAATCGTAACTTCTGCTAAATAGGTGATGTAGACCATAACAATAACCAACAAAGCGCTTGATGAATGATTGACGGACGCAATGGATGGTTAGCAAACGGTCTCAGTTCATATATGTATTACCTGGATTTTCAGGGACGTTTTCACATACGTATAAATCGATCATCCAAACAATTACAACATTCTTCTAGCATGAGACTGGCGTGGTCTCGATAACCTATTTTTTGCCTCGTACCTCGTGTATCGGAGGGTGCTCGCTACATTACAGTAAAACCTACCGTGGATAGGGTTACAAGAAAACATTATCCTAATCGAAAATTACCCCCAAAGTTCCCTTTTACAAGTAAATATTACTGACGCCGCTCCACACATTGATAGATATGGGTCGCTTTATTAATCAACCACATCACCTATTTTGCTTCTTGACGCGCAATGGATGGTGAGGGATGCATGCATAGTAATGTACAATTTAATAGAAGGAACAGATCTATGAAAAGCTCGATAATGGTACTATCATTTATCAATATAACGGTTCTTGCCCTCCCTCATATTAAGCACTCTTGATTGCAAGCGGGTTATATATCGATTAATTAATTTGGAATTCGTGTACAATTCTATAATTTATAATTTGTCAAACTCTGTTATGTATTTATTAGCGAATTGTAATTAATTATTTATAGAATAGGATTTTCAAATAAAATACTTTTTTATTATTTGTTTTGTAAAGGCCCCCGTTTTTGGTTACCTTATTTTGTAGATTGGATTATGTTTCAACGATGTGTCAAGAACATGCTTTAGTTTTTACAAGTTCAACAGGTTTATCATTAATTTCAGAAGGTGAATTTCCCTCAGCACGTACAGAATACGTGCGGTTGATAAGAGCACACACCCTATCATTGTCCTCGGCGCTAGATCCTTACCGATTATCGATGTAATATTGTACTCTATCACGTCTCGTGTAAATGCAATTTAAAGCACCTGCCAACACTGCTGCCTGGGTAGGTCAGCATATATTGTGTGCAGGATGACAATAATTGCCTGTTTCACCTGATATCAATTCGTACTCCGTCTAATTTTAACGGACTCATACATCGTGGAAGCTATAAATATCACAGCTCACAAATCACGCGTGAAGATCTTTCCTGCTAGAACGATCAAAAACGACTGCCGCCGATCAAACGAGTTGACCCGTTTCTGACCCAGATGCAATCGCCATATGCTAGCTTTAAAAAAGACAGCAATACGTTGTTGTTGCCAAGACTATGAAGAATAACCTTGTCGCGGCTAGTTTGGTCACACCTTCTTTACTAATGAGACTCGTAACATTCATAGCTATAAAGTGAAAGATAGGTGGCTTGATATCCAAATTGTAAATAATCACACTCTGCTACGAGAGATTGGCGGACGCATGCTTGTCGATCTAATAATCTAATCATTTGGATTAGGTTTTAGGTAGTCGGAGGAAGATCCCTGCTATATAGTTTCGTCCAGGTCAGCGATACTAGTGACGCACGTGAGACCAAAGACAACGAGAAAAAGTGAATGTGAGGCATGTCGACTATAGTTAAAAGTGCTTAATTTTGGGTTCAGGAGATATAGTTCGAGGCTGCAATGTGTGACTTTTACAAAACCTAGTATGCGCGACTAATAAAAAAATTAATTGCCACGTAAAATATTAAGTATTAAGTTGAACGCTGGCGATCTTTCCAAGTTAGCGTTATATATACACAACGTGATAAAAAAAACTTGCATGGTCATCGTATGTGAGACGTTTATGTGTTCATACAAGTCATAAGGGTGTTCAAACGAATTGCGGATGTTATTTAAAAGCTCTTCTAAGTTGCTATGCGCTGTAGATTATTGACAAGTATTTTCGTAGCATAGCAGAAAGATGTGACCTAGAATCAATATGTAAATAACACATTACAATATATTCCAAAATAATTTCACGAAAATTGGGGGTCCAAAATTTGAGGACCTCAATTATTTCAAGCAAACAAACCCGATTTAATGAAAAACTGCGATTGAATTTTTATATATTCATTTCTAAATTGCCACAATGTCTATGGGTTGTATATATTCGCGTTCTTATCCAATAACAACAGAGAATACATAATGACTATATATCGATTAGGTGTAGAGACGCCGGTTTGACGTTGCTATGTCGCAACAGCGAAGAGAATCGACAAATCGTTGTAGTAGCCTTAAAGCTCCTGTATAATACAGCAACGTGGCGAAGACTGTTTTTCATACTCGGTCAACACGTATTAGTGCCACCGGTATCCAGAGTTTATCATTAAAAAGGCAACCAAAACGACAATAGACTTCGCGCAAGGGGTCAGTTTGACAGCATATTTTCGATACAACCAAATTTAGTTATTTCGCCTGCCTAGTTTCAACAAGCACAAGACCTCTCGTGCGAGTATGCCGCTGTTCTATGCAACAGATTATTAACATGCGTGAGACACGTTTTTTTGCGAACTACCACGATTATTTGCAAGAATCTACAATCATCTTGGATCCACATTCATACAGAAATTCTGCTTCCATATATAAGTCAGATGGCACAAATATTAAGTTTCATAGTCTGCCATTATCATTGATCCGTCAAGATATGTGCTGTGCAATCATTATCTGTTCATATGATAGAAGTGTTGGCAGTTTTGCTCGAATGTGCTCTTGCTGAATAAATTTATATTGGCGTCGCGAGCGACTCGTCTATTATGTTTCTTAAGATAATATATAAAGAAGTGTTCCATAATTCTAGTAAGCTGCTACGAGCTATTTGGGTACAAATGCATCGTCAAATTAGCATGTGATTTATGAAGTCAGGTTGATACCAATGTGTCTCCTCGACTGAAGAAAAATACAAAACAAACCCTATTAGCTGCTCATAGAAACAAACTTTAGAGGTTCGAGATCGACCAACGGATCAATAATTATGATTTTTGCATTTGTTGCGCTGCCGTACCTTAATTTCATCATTATATAAACACTTCGAGAAAACATGATGGACCCGACATGATGGTCGATTGAGTCGTTTTTAATATCCTTTTGGCGAACACAAAATCATGTGATGGATAGTACATTCGTGCTTTATGCCTTCGACATCGTTAACGGGGATTTAGAAAGGAAGTCAATCTTGCAATGTTCGCTTTGTGCATCGTCAATTAATGACATTAAGTTGTCACAGGGAATGGGTACACATCAATTGTATTTTTATTAGCATTTTGGCTAGTTTATGGCTTACGTCAGTATCTGGTCGATAGATGATGTATGTCCGTCTGATGGACGTTGATCGAGTAACGTTCCGTTTACTGCATTATCCGCTATACTTAGCGAACAAAAAATGATGAATCATGTTTTACACTTTATTCGGACACCATAAAGTACTGGGTCCTATATACATACGCTCCCAATCATTGAATTGCTATCAAAATAGTTTAGAAATAGTTTGCCAAATAACACATTCTCGTAAAGCAAAGGTACCAAACGGAACACCTTAAGGGGTCACGTTATACAAAGTTTAAAATAAAAAATGTTATTTTAATTACTACGTCCGATATTCTGTATCTATTGACCACACACGTAGGTTATATATAGTACATACGACATCAAAATGAAAGATACATTGGCGCTGAATCAAAGGTAATGGGACAAGGTCCAACGATACCAGACCTAAGTAAAACGTAATACTTTCACACATTCGTTGATGGATCAGATATATGCTTTTGTCCAATACTCGTCCGTGAAAGGTGTTGTCCGTGGGTAGTTCACAATATTTTAAGTGGCGTGATCTACTGATCCCAAGTTCGTCAATACGCAGGGACTGACTCCTGCACTATCAATAAATCTTTATTAATTTCACATTTGGTTATGAGCGCGTTAACATCGACCTATTGTTATCGTATATCTATTCATTGTTGGAATGTGATAGAAGTGGGAAGTCGATATCATATGATTCATGACCAGCAGACGTATACGATCAAACGAAATCATGAAGTAAGCCGACTAAAAACGTGCATTTGAAACATCCATAAAGCATTTCACTGATACCGACATATTCGGAGCGAATTCCCAACGCGCGCATTCAGAAAAGATCGAATCGATCTAAATCATATGTAAATAATTGTTGAATATTATTCGAACCTAAGCGTACTTGCGTCGATCCTTTCACAACAAATCGGATTAAAAATCTATTTATGATTTATCTGTAGAAAATATAGTAATGTTGTAGTGCTCAAATTATTTAATGGTATTAGAACCTTCATACACTCGCCATACTCACAAGAATGCGAGACAAGATAAAAGGTGTATTAAAAAATGATCGTTTTTGCTCTCTTCTGCTCTTTTATAAAAAATGACGTGGACCGCGTGGATTTTGATGTGTAATTTTACTGGTTCCAAATACAATCAGCA